GCTCCTGAAAGAGAGGACAACAATTGTACAACATAACACTTCATAATCAATCCAACGCAAAAGGCAAAACGCCGATTGGACGTAGGGTCGTTACTCGATCTACGATCGAGGGCCTGAACCAGGATAAATCGACTGTCTCTTACGTTTACCATCGAATTCAGCATACGCCGAAGCCCGAACGATACTGCCACGGTACCCCTGTGGCAGGCTATCGGTGATAAAACATCGACAGGGATGCTTGTCGAATATGGCTTTTTTTGTTCTATGCCCCGTAGCGTTAGCACGGGCAATATACTATTTAGTTAGTTGATCAATCATTTTTTTGTTGGCCAGTGATTTCTGAATTGATTTTCATCCATCAGCATAAACTAAAATACTAATCAAATTGCAGATTATCCAACCTGTATTTCCAAAGATGCTGATGGCGTGGCCAAAGCCGAGAAGAAGTCATTGGCTTCATATGCCTCATTGGCTTCTTTTTCTTTGGTTGCATCTCCAGATGAGTCATCGGCCAATCATGTTGATAATTATTTGTTCATCCGGTCTTTAGTTCTCACTTACAACCTGAGATGGCTATTCTGAACTTTGCTGCATAAGGTGTTTGCTGAAATGGTTGGCGCTTAGTAGTTATCTTTGCCTTGTCGACAGGTGCAGTAAAGGTAATATCTGCTAAATTCTCAAGATGTTGTTTTCCCTTAGTCGTCCTTCATAGCAACCATGCTTTATTTTTTCGACATGAGCACGAAGTGCTGGTTAAGGGTTGGTGATGATTGTTTTCCAGCATCAAATTTTGCTAGCTCATTTAGTTCCACAAAGGTGGAGAGCTAGGCAAGTTGCTCATCTGTGGGAGTTTGCTCGAAACGTATTGATGTGGGAGTTTTTGTTTCAGGGGTTACAGATGATGGTTTGTAGACACGTGCATTTAGAGACCCAGTCGGCAGCTTCTATGGCTTTGAAGTCACCACATGAGTACCACCAATGCCTCCTATCCTACATATGGTTTTTGGCAAGGTTAGTGTCCATGTATATGGATTGTTGAATTACTGTTAGCTTGTAGCATTGTTTATGTGGGGCTCAGCCATGTCCGTTGAACTGACCGAGAAAATGTCAATATCATTGTCTGATGAAAATCAAGTTGGTGCCAAATACTTACACGTTTCCTGCGATGGTCATGCTAGGATCTCCATCATCATATGCGGATGACAAGCATCTCGATTTTGCAAGTCTGGTGACGAGCATCTCGATTTTGCAAACAGTAAGTTAGTGTTGAATAATGTACTGCAGACATACGTATCTCCTGATTTGTTTTGTTAATTAACTTTTACTAACAGGCTACAGTGGGCTGGTTACAAACAAGAATGGATGATCAAGAAGTTTTCAACACAATTAAAGAAGCTGTCAATTTGCATCAATCAAAGATCTAAAAAGTATATGATCAGTGGTACCTAAATACGGATGCGACAACCAAGGCAAAATTTCTACAACAGAAGAGCTAAGTAAAAAACCAACTGCCCTGTGATCCTTCTCCGCAATCTTGATCCAAATAATGGATTGTGCAATGAAACAAGGTTAATGGTTAGAGCCTTCTAGGACAACGCAATTGATGCTGAAATTGTTGGTGGGCAGCATGCGGGCAGAAGGGTGTTCCTACCTAGGATTACAATGTCTCCATCCGATGATATTTCACTGCCTTCCAAAATGAGAAGGAAACAGTTCCCGATTCGCTTAAGTTTTGCAATGACCATAAACAAAGCGCAGGGGCAGACCATCCCAAATGTTGCATCTAGGCACTCTTTTCCCCAGATCGTAGCATTAAGTATTTCTTGGCGAGCTATAAGATGATCAGATTTATAAGTAAGTATCTCTTGTAAAATATGAGAACCTGTGTTCTCGCGTGGACAGCTTTATGTCGCTTTGTCAAGAGGAGTTTCAAGGCAAACAACTAGAATTTTGTTGAAACCAAACAAGGTACTGGATTCTACAAGCAAGAGCACAAAAAATATTGTATATAAAGATGTAGTGAACTGGTGATGAGTGGTAAGTAATATTTCCAAACATGTACACAGCCATGAGAACTATCTCTGTTTTGCTTTTTTTCTTGCAGCAAGAGTCAGGTTACAAGTACTAACTGAGTAACCCCTACATACCTTGTATTAGATTTATTTTTGTGAATTTAAGTTAACTTGCTGTGAGGGGTATCTAACTGGCGGTTGCTGTACTATGCAGGGATGAGCTATTAGGTTTGTTTCACAAAAATAATATGTCATTTCTTAAATTAGATGTCTGCAGCAGGCTATGGTGGAGTCAGTATTAGCTCTACAGAGTTGAGTAAGTCTTAGCTTCACATTGATGCAACCTACATGTTACTGGATGGAATTATGATATATTGGATCACAACCAGTTTAGGGGCATTGGAGAAGGCATGAAGTTTTTCTCTGTACAAGCCATTAATTATGAAATATTCAAATGACCTAAACAACCTTCTCAGTTTGTGCTGGCACTTCCGGAATTATACACCCTTTCATCTAAATTTATGATGACTTTTCTAAATTTGAAGATGGAAGAACATTTTGCAGCTTCTGAAAAATTGAATATGGGAGAAGATTTTGCAGCTTCTGAAAATTTCAGTGAGCCAAGGGTGTAGTTTAGCCCATTTGGACTCGGGGGTTTTGTGTGTTTGTGATTTTCACATCTAACCTACTGTAGAACCTTTTTTCAGGTTTATGAAGAACAACCCAGAGGGTAAGGTGCATGTGTATAACGGTGGTGATAGCAAATGGATTGCTAATTCTGATGTGATCACCCAAGTCATTGAGTAGAAGTACCCAACTCCATCTCTGATCACCCCTCCAGAATATGCATCAGTGTAGTAAGATGTCTTGCTCATATCCATCTTACTTGGGAAGTAGCTAGGCTATGTATAAATTCCTAGGGAATTTAAAACATTTTAATGTGAAATCTTCATGTTCCAAGCGGGACCTAAGTTCAACTGGTGCTTGTTTCTGAAGATCCTTGCTATATATTTAGCCCTGTAATTTTTTTTTGTTAAAAGCTTGAGGTTTTTTTTTAAAAGCTTGAGTGCTTAGTAAGATTGACATTCAACTCTCGAGGTGCCTTGTGTTCAAATAGTTGTTGGTTTATAGTTCAAACGCTTTGATGTATCACAATTCTAACAGCATTTTGGTTAGAACCTTGTACTTGTAATTTTTATAGGAGAGACCTCCTAAAGGAAAAAAGGAAGTAATGCATTTCTCGGTATATACAGATCATAAGTTTTAGTGGGAAGCAGCTGTACAATCTGTCATGCAATTGATTTTTAACCTGTAAAATACTTGTAAATTGCAAGATTTCCATCTTCTTTATTAGGACTGTTTTTAAACTTTGCTATTTTGTTGTCAACTTTATTAGGTCTGTTTTTAAAGACTGCTATTTTCTTGTCAATATGCAGCAATTCTCTAATGTCAACATTCAAAGCATCACAAGGACTTTTAAACCAAAACCATAGCACGGGCAATATAATATTCCTTAAATTAGATGGCTACAAAGAAAGCTATGGTTTTGCTCTCTCGTGTTTCATCAATTCCTCAATTCTAACTCGACATGAGCACTTGGTCGTCTCTTGCAGATGTGACTTCCTGCAGATGCTTCAGAGTCGAAACAACTCGATCCAAAGAAGATTTCTACACAAATCAAATCACAGATTTTCTCACCCTCAAAGCAAAGAATCTATGCGAATGAAGATCCCCGCCTTCTATTTGCATATGCAAGATCGAGCATTTTTTTTTGTAATGTATAAGGAAACACAACGGATAGTTTTGTTTTTCACTGTTGTGTAATCATGAGATATCTTCACGTGAACATCAGTCATCCACAGATCATGAGGATGCCAAGAATCTGCTACTATTACTTGTTATAGTGCCGAGTTCAAAGTATACTGGATGATTACCTGATCGTTTATTTTATCATAAGGAGCATTTTTTTCTTACTGCAATTTTTAATAAAAATTAATCCTTGTACGGAAGTATCTTTTCTCAATACACCATATCAACAATTAAAAATTGCACGGTTTCATATCACATTGGAATTGGAACTCACTGAATTACAGGACCAATACTCCTATGACCACGAGCACTTGGGAGTCATTGCAAGGGGGCTTGATTTGTTAGCAAACCATAAAACAAACTTTGGCCAGACTTCTCGGAGCAGCTTCCACTTCTCTCTGTTTGGTTGTTTTTATGTGCATCCTAAAATAAAGTCGTGGTGTTAGCACGGGCACTATACTAGTAATCCGTAGTCCATAGTACCAAGGTGTGGGTGCGGGTGCGGCGGACAACGGAGGATGCGGTAGCTGTTGCCGTATCGAGTGGACGAGAAGGCGAATATTTTTACGGGTATATGGCAGCTAAAGTATTTTACGGAAAACGAATTAGAGACCGTGCGTGGCGTCTACATGAGAAGTGCCATCCGTGAGGTGGCGGCAGCCTGGCAGGTGGCTTTTGGTATGGTACCACCCTAGGCCCTGATACTTAGCCCGACTACGTATATGAGCATTTTTTGTGGGAACAATTTTGAACTCTTCGATTGCAGTTTTTCTTGGGACAGATGAAGTATTTATTTCTGAACAGAGAAAAAGCTAGGATTGGTGGCGCGGCCTTTGGTTGAGATTGGGCTGTCGCCGCTTACTAAGGACTTCCAAGGCGATTGTGGTCACTCAGCGACCCAAACCTGGGCCGAACATCTTAACACATGTAGGCTCAGCCCACATATGAGCCGCCGTTGCGTGACCCACTTCCCTTTCTCCCTCGGCATCCACGTGGGAGGGACATCGCTGCGAGAGCGGCGCGTCGTGTGTGTTCGTGCTCGTCCATATCCTCCTCGGCCCTTCTCATCAGCAATTCCCAAATCGCCCCTCCGCCAAAACGGGAGCTCAGCGGCGGCGCCCCCAACCTCTAACCCTCCCCTGAACCCTACCCCCTCGTCGCCGGTCGCCACCCCACGACATGGCCCTCTCCCGCCGCCTCCTCCCGCTCTTCCTCCGCCGCGGCGCCCCCGTCCCCGCCCGCGCTCTCTCCACGGCCGCCGCACCTGCGGCGGTGGCCTCGGAGGATGACGAGGAGGCCATCACCGTCAAGGGCGTGCGCATCTCGGGCCGCCCTCTGTACATGGACATGCAGGCGACGACGCCCGTCGACCCGCGCGTCCTCGACGCCATGCTCCCCTTCTACCTCTCCCGCTACGGGAACCCTCACTCCCGTACCCACCTCTACGGCTGGGAGTCCGACGCCGCCGTCGAGGACGCCCGCGCCCGCGTCGCCTCCCTCGTCGGCGCCGACCCGCGCGAGATCTTCTTCACCTCGGGCGCCACCGAGTGCAACAACATCGCCGTCAAGGGCGTCATGCGCTTCTACCGCGAGCGCCGCCGCCACGTCATCACCACGCAGACCGAGCACAAGTGCGTGCTCGACTCCTGCAGGTACCTGCAGCAGGAGGGATTCGACGTCACCTACCTCCCCGTGCGCAAGGACGGGCTCGTCGACCTCGCGCAGCTCGAGGACGCCATCCGCCCGGACACCGGGCTGGTGTCCGTCATGGCCGTCAACAACGAGATCGGCGTCATCCAGCCCCTCGAGGAGATTGGGCGCATCTGCAAGGAGAAAGGCGTGCCGTTCCACACTGATGCTGCTCAGGCGCTGGGGAAGATCCCGATTGATGTCAACAGGATGGGGATTGGGCTCATGTCCCTGTCCGGCCACAAGATTTACGGGCCCAAGGGCGTGGGGGCCCTCTACCTTCGCCGCCGCCCGCGCATCAGGGTGGAACCGCAGATGAACGGTGGTGGGCAGGAGCGTGGCATCCGCAGTGGGACTGTGCCCACGCCGCTTGTTGTTGGATTTGGGGCTGCCTGTGAGATTGCTGCTCAAGAGATGGATTATGACCACAGGCGTGTCAGTGCTCTGCAGCAGAGGCTGCTTGATGGCATGCGTGCGCAGGTCGATGATATTGTCATCAATGGAAGCATGGAGCACCGTTACCCAGGCAACCTCAATTTGTCATTTGCGTATGTCGAAGGGGAGAGCTTACTGATGGGTCTGAAGGAGGTGGCTGTGTCAAGTGGTAGTGCCTGCACTAGTGCCAGCTTGGAGCCCTCATATGTGCTGCGGGCACTTGGAGTGGAGGAGGATATGGCGCACACTTCTATTCGTTTTGGCATCGGTCGGTTTACCACTGAGGAAGAGGTGGACAGAGCAATTGAGCTTACTGTGCATCAGGTGAAGAAGCTCCGTGACATGAGCCCACTCTATGAGATGGCCAAGGCTGGCATTGACCTCAAGAGCATCGAGTGGTCACAACACTGAGGCATCTTTCATGACAAACGGACACTCGAGAGTGTACACGGATTGCATACATCGGTATATGGCTCTTAGCTGCCTGCTCTTTGTTATATCCTGTTTTCTTTCAAAAGGGATGATGCCATGGTGCCTTGTTTACATGACATGATAAATAATCGTGCATCTGTTCAGCATATCTGATGACATTTAGAGCAAAGGATAATGTGCAATATTTTCATGGTGATTTGTTCTGAGCGTACATCTGTGAATCAGATATTTTCTCTATGATGTTGAAATTAACTTCTGATCAATTTGGAGAAGTGTAACCTAGTAAGGTCTTGTTCTGTTCCATTAAATGCAATATTTAGAACAAGAATAAATCAGATTCTCTAGACCGTGCATCAAAGACCCTTGCTGCTGGTTATGCTGAAATGTTTCTTATTAATATGGTTCAACAAGTGCCTGTGCACATCCAAAAATATGGCATGCACTGTCTTGCTTTTAGGATATCAACACAAGCAGCAAGCTGAACCCTGGTTAACAAGATTCCATTTTTGTAATGCCTTTGAGATTGTTTATTTGGGGCTGTGCTCTAGAGATTTTTGGTATTAATTCAAATTAGTACAAACTTGTTCTCTCTGTTCAAAACCATAGTTCACTTTAGCTTTGTCCTAAGTCAAACTTCTCTAACTTTGACCAGTTTTTTCTAAAAAGATGTATTAACATCTACGGGTTCAAATAAATGCAGTATCAAGACATTTTATGGAGAACTTAATGAAACTAGTTTCATATGTAAATGTTGGTGCAATGTTCTACTCCATCCGTTTCAAACTGTAAATAGTTTTAGCTCTGTTGCAAGTCAAGCTTGTCTAACTAGTTTATAGGAAAAATTATTAACATCTACATTTCATGTTGTATCAAATATATCTCATGGTGTATCAAATAAAAACATTATCAAATATATTTCATGGTGTATCTAATCTAATGAATCTAGTTTGATGTTCTAACTATAAATTTGGTCAAAGATAGAGAAGTTTGATTTAGGACATAGCTAAAACGACTTACAGTTTGAAACAGAGGGAGTATAAACTTGGTCAAAGCTAGAGAAGTTTGACTTAGAACAAAACTAATGTGACCTATAATTGGAAATGAAGGAGTAGGATTCAAATACAAATCTATATCCAATTCACGTCCTAATTTTTTTCACATAGAATTCTGAGGCCAAGTGTGCCTAACATGATGAGCTAAAATGTCAAGATCTAGTCACGTGACCTGATCTGGCCTTTGTTGCTTCTCACAGAAATTGCAGTGTTGAAATAGTTCCAGCTCATATCAGTCCACTTGTTTACTACTGGGTTAAACATTGTCATATGTTATATTTTGCCATTGCTTTCATAGGAACGGGATCAGGAGTAATGAATAATATTAGCCTGCTGTTATATATAATTTGCTGTCCCTGATTGATCTGTTGTCTGTCATCAGTGCCCTGATCTGAATACAAGTAGCAATGAATTATTCCTTCATCCACATATACTAAATACTTCAATCTACATACTCATCCATTCTATACCTACCAGTGTCCTAAACTCCTAATCTAAGTACTAGTAGCAATGAATTGCATGCCTTCATCCACATAAACTATATAGTTTAACCCTATATCCTATACCAGTTTATACCTACAAGTGACAGTTTTGAGCATGACAATGTGTGGTATTTAACTAAAGATTTGTTCTGAGCATAGTTTGTGCTGTAGCAGTGTTCTTAAGGCAGTGAGGTGAGGTGTGGTCTCAGGGTGGTGAAGTGAGGTGTGAACACCCACCCCCCTCACAACACCTAGGCAATGCCTAGGCACCTGCAAGGTGAGGTGATTCCGTACCAGTCTAGCAACACCAAACTAACAGCATAGAAGGATGGAAGAAAAATAGGAGAAAACGGGAAGGAGACTGGCCCAGCCCACCAAGCAGCCCTCCCTCCCCTCCCATAGTGAATTAAGCAGTCTATAACCTCAGGTGCTCTCAATGCCCTCTCTATACCAGCCATTAGCCTCTCCTCCCCGTTGCTTCCTTGCCCCTCGAGTGGAATCACCACCGCTGCTCCCCCATCCAGATTAGCCGTAGTTGCCCTCCCTTTCCAGATCAGTCACCGCCGCTGCTGAACAGGCAGATGATTGCATCGGCCACCAGTGGCAGAGTTGCCAGGGATGTGTAGGCTTCTGCTGCTTGTTCCCTTTCTCCCTCCCCTCTTTGTTGACGTAGACGCCCAGGACCGCGTGGACACCTTGTCACCTAAGGTGGCACCTTAAGAACACCATAGTTTTAAAGGCGGTTAGTCGTCCAGGCGAGTGCTTGGTACGCCTGGACGCCTAGGCCACAAGGCGCCACTGTTTCCCAAGGCGAGCTAGGTACGCCTGGACGGCGACGCCTTGAAAACACTGAAGAACACTGTACTGCACTATTTTCTCTGTTGAAATGGCTGCTGTTGATCAATTTGGAGAACTGTACCTAATACAGTATCGTTCCGTGGTACAGATGAAAATATTCCAAAATGAAAATAAGAATTTAGAACAAGATAAAATCGAAATCTGTAGGTCATGCATACTATGTTTGCTTCGTCTAAGACATGTTTGTGCTGAGAAATATTTGGGGGATTGCTCTTCTGGATATTGCACACCCACAATACAATCAGGTCACAATTGTTTTTTAGGAAACTTTTGAGGGCATGTAAAAAATGTCAAACATCTGTGTCCAAGTATGAAGTATGGATTCATGAATCGTGTGGGCTAAAATGGCAATATGAATGTGACCAGATATAGCCATTGTTTTCTTACTGAAATCGAATTGTTGAAAATACAGCATGGCTGATAGCAGAGCCAGTTGTACGTCTGACTTCCCATCCTTCAATCTGATGTCCTTCATGGTATATTTGCGAATTTTAATGTTGTCCTTCCATCTTTGCTCATCACTTTTATCATTTTTTCTCCCTCGTACTTTGCATTTGCTTGATCTTTAACCCTGTTGGATAACTGTGTTTAGAAGCCATTCTCCATTAGTACATGCTTAGTCTTGGTCTGGCTTCTATCAGTCTAATTTGTTGGTAATTACAGCATCTGGTCACTAAATTACTGATTTAGAAACCAACACAGGATGTCTCAAAACACAACTTTGTATTTGTGCTTATTTGTTTTATTTATTTCAATACAATTATGATACTATTGAAGTACTTTATGAAAAATCTCCACATCATTTTCACATGTCTGGTAGAACTATTCACAGAGATATTGTGGTAGTTGGTACCAATTACCTTAAGGAGTTCTCAGGATGCATCATTAATTGTTACCCATCATATCCAATATTTCTGATAAAATATAGCTCACATCACTGACTTCTCTGGGTAGTGGGTACCTCTCTGTTTGCATGCCACTACACATATTTCTTTCTTGTTATCTGGTTCTTATTCTGCATGTGAATGTTTTCATGACTGTTCTCTAGAGATTCTGATGAAGTATTTTAGCTATATTTTGATGCCATATAAATTGTAATAATCTACAACATAAGGCGAAGAAAGATACCTATAAATCTCACAAAACACCACCATAATAATGACTGCACAATTGTGGTTATTTTTCAATATTTTGTAGTTCCAGAAGTAATCACAACTCTAACTTGGTCCCTCTTGTTGGAACTTTTTCCAGGTTTATGTCTGGTGCTGGTGAAGACATTCATGTGGTGCCTACCTCTGATAGGATTATCGCACTTTTTTAGCGCTCACATGGGGGCCTGAGTGTGTTCAAGAGGGTTAAATATGCTTGCTTTGTAAGGTAGAGTATCTTGACCTCAAAATAAGGATACTTCAAATACTTGGTAATGTATTGTCTGAAATACAGTTTGAAGTAGTAGTGAAGCGGTGACGATGATGTTAATATATTTTAGTGCTGATATAAATGTTGCTATAAGCTCCATTTGGTAAAATTCCTGCACGGGTTATTCTGTGTTTCATCAGAAAATTTTCTTCACTCTTTCTATTCCTGTTTTTTTATTTGCAAATTTAATTTGTGTTCCTTGCTTTTTTTTTGAGTCCTTTGATTGTTGTATGGGTTTTTGCAGAGTTATATGCTAGTATTTGGTGTCTTTTATTGGCATATATATACTCCCTCCGTTCCATTTTATCCGGCGTGAGAGGAGAGTTTCCGGGTACCAAGGACGTCTGCCGACGCATGCGTGCGTATTAACTCCACCTAAACTCAACCAATCAGGAATCATCCGTGCCGCGAAAGTTGATGTGCTGTTCCTTTGCAGGCCTATCCCATGCAATGAACGCTTCAGTTCCAGGCAATGAACGCTTTGGTTTGAGGCCTGCAGTAATTATCTAGTTCCAATCCACCGTCCCGCCTGGTATTATGGTAAAAGCAAAAAACATGTGCACGCCTGGTATAACGGAATGGAGGGAGTATCTCTTAACTAAGAAGCCTTTGTTCATTGTCCCTCCCAAGTACTGTACTTCGTTCCATTCTTTCCTTTCTCCCTCCCAAGTACTGTACTTCGTTGTTCGTTCCATTCTTTCGTTACTGGGCTGGTTTTGGCTCTTTGGCTTATGTTCCCAGTTCCCACCTAGCTAGGTGAGCAGCAAATGGTTCTTTAATTAATTCCTGGAAATACTTTCATTCCATGTGGCCCTGTTTGCTCGAACTTATCAGCCACGGTATAATATTTTTCTCTCACAACAAATCAGCTTTAGCCGGTTTATTAGCCGTAGAAACTATTAGCCGAACAACTATTGCCCTGTTCGCTTGGCTGATAAGCCACGGCTGAAAGTATTGTTGGTTGATTTGTTGTGAGAGAAAAATACTATTCGTTGGCTGAAAAAGTACGGCTTATAAGCCAAGCGAATAGGGTGTATATACGGAGTACAAAGAGGAAAATTCATGGCTGGTCCCTCAACTTGGCACGAGATATCAACTAGGCCCCTCTACTATCAAAATGGTATTCCGGGGCTTCAGGTATCATCCAGGTTCAAACTCAGCTCTGCATGCTGACGTGGCATGCTGAGTGTGCATCTGACATGTGGGACCCACGCTTCAGGGGAATAAAAAAACAAACTTTTCTTCCTCCGGCTCGCTTGCGCAGGAAGCGCCGGAGCTCGCGGTTGTTGGGCGCGCGTGCGGCCCCGGCCGGCGAGGGCGCCGGCGCGGAGGCTGCCGGTGGGCGTGGCCCGGCCGGTGAGGGCTCGGTGTCTCCCAGTGGCGTGCTCGGCAAGCTGTGCTGGCTCACGGTGGCGGACGTGGTGCGCATCCTCCTGAGCTCCGTTGGCCTCTTCTCCGCCATAGCCTCGCGGTTTGTCTCCGAAGCTTGGCGCCGTCCGCCCGCCAAGCGCCGCCGTCGTGGCCTGGCACAGCACGCTCTCCGCGCCGCCGCTCTGCGTTTCGGCGTTGCAGATCACGCCCTCGCTGGCCGGAAGCCACCGCGCTGCGCCTGCGCCCGCCCCCTCGCTTCCCGGGCCGGGACTGCGCCCTCGACCGCGCCATGGCTAGCTGCATCACTGGCACACGGAAAGTGCACGCTGCTGATTGCACGAGCGGGACGATGAACGACTGTCCAGGACGGCACGCACGAGACGGTCACGATCTCGCCGTGCGGCGCCGCTGAAGTGCACGGTGCAGACTGCAGAGGACAACGACGGGGGTCGCGCGTTGCAACGAGCCAAGGACCGGAGCCGACCGCCGCACGGGCAGGCGCTCGCTCAGTCGGAGCCGTGTGCCGTGCCGCCGTGTCGCCCGCGGACGCACGGCCCGTGCGCGCGATTGCTGCTCGCTGGCACGCACGCACGCAGGCAGTCAATGAATTGACTGCGCCGGTAGCCTCCGCGCCCTCGCCGGCTGGGGCCGCGCCCGCCGGTAGCCTCCGCGCCGGCGCCCTTGCCGGCTGGGGTTGGGGCCGTGCCCGCTCCCGCCGGCGCCCTCGCACGCGAGCCCAATGAGCTCCGGCGCTTCCTGCGCACACGAGCAGAAGGAAGAGTGTTTTTTATTCCCACACGACGCGTGGGTCCCACACGTCAGATGCACACTCCGTAGGCCACGTCAACGTACAGAGCGGGATAAGACCCGTTTGGACCTGTATGATACCCGAAGTCAAATTCATAGACCCAGAAATACCATTTTGATAGTAGAGGAACCTAGGTGACGTCTTATGCTAAGTTAAGAGACCGGCCATGAATTTTCCTCGAGTACAAAATAGATAGGAACTCTAATTTCATCCTTATTTCTGTCTAACACGCTCGATGTCACAGTTGACGTTGAACTATTTCTCTTGACCCCTTAGCACTACACTGCAAACTATGCATACACATTTGTACTTGGGGCTCGGGCTCGGGGTGGACATTTCGTTAGCGGGTAGCGAGTCAGACGGCACTGAGTCACTGAGTCAGGTGTACTTGGGAGTGGGCATCTTCTCAGGCAGCGTTGGCAGCGTCACCTCACACTGAAGCATGCCTGATGGAAGGCCGCAGGCTGGGGTCTGGATGGGCGCACGCCAGCCCGACGACCATCACACGCTCCATCTCGCCGTGGTCGAACTCGCCGTCCATCCGCTCGTCGGCGGCTTCAAGAACGGACCCTCTCCCATACAGGCCCCAGACCCATTCCACGAGGCGCGTCCTGCCCTGGTCCTGGTGCACCTGGTCGAGCACCACGGGCGGGCGGCCGCAGGCGATCTCGAGGAGCACGACGCCGAAGCTGTACACGTCGGACTCCGGACCCGCGCGGCCGGTGACGAGGCACTCCGGGTCCATGTAGCCCAGGGTGCCCGCCAGGTTGGTGGTGTGGGAGCCGCGGCCGTGGTCGACGAGCCTCGCGAGGCCGAAGTCGCCCAGCTTGGCGCCGAAGGAGGCGTCCAGCGTGATGTTGCTGGGCTTGACGTCCCTGTGCACCACGCACTGCTCCCACTCCTGGTGAAGGTACAACAGCGCAGATCCCAACTCCAGCACGATCTTGAACCTGACAGGCCATGTTAGGAGAACGACTGGGTTGTAGAGATGGGTGTCGAGGCTGCCGTTGCTCATCAGTTCATACACCAGCAGTAGCTCCCTGCCCTGGTGGCACCACCCGATGAGCTGCACAAGGTTCCGATGCCGCAGCCGGCTTATGATCTCACCTCTGAGGCGTACTCTTTCCTCCCTTGCTCTGAACCTCTCGACACTCTCTTGATGGCGACGTGGAGGTCTAGCTCTCTCAGAAATCCTCTGTAAACCGCGCCGAAGCCGCCTTCTCCGAGCTTCTCCTCCTCGGAGAAGCCTTTGGTTGCGACAGAGAGTTGGCCGTACTCAAACCGCTTGGGCCCTGAGCCCTTCTCAAACTCCTCGTCCATGAGCTTGCCTCGAGCTTCCGATTCTAGCTGTATCTCAGCCAACTCCAGGTGTTTCCTTCCTAGTGCGCGGAGCAGGGCAACAACTGCTAGGCAGAGGAGGATGGATATGGAGCTGGTAACTCCGTGAGCAACCTTTAGTCCGGTTCTGGAATTCGAATCACCTACATATATAACATCAGATGGTTGATGACGGCGTAAGTGTAATACGTTGTTGCTGTTAGATTCTCCACCAGTTGGCCCAACGGTCAATTGGGCCCTTGATCCGTGCCTTAGATTGAGGCGCCTAGCCGTTTTCTCACTGATGGGTCCCCGTCGCGCAGCGCTATAAAGAGGAAGGTGGAGGCCGAGGCACAAGGTACGAGATTCACTGTAGCCGCCAGCGCCCCACTGAGGTTCTTAGCCCTAGTCTGATCTAGAAGAGCGCACTGTAAGCGACAGGAAGTCCACACCGCCTTCATTGTCGCCGCTGGATCGCGCCTCCACTGCACAACTACCTCTACTCCGACACTCGAGGCCACGTCGCCGCGGCGCCATGGCCGCGACTGCGCTTTGGGAGGTATATCTACAAGTTCTTTGTCTAAGTTAAGTTTCACCCGCTAGATCTACGTCTAGAGGTCCTATAGATCGTATCAATTGCATCATCGGTAACAAGGATATATCAGTTGCGGTTAAGAACAAACCTGTGCTCGAGCCTGGGTCGGGTGAGCTCCAAGGAGCTACCAAGCTGAAGGACCAAGAGAGCAACTGGTGCAGCTCAATGGACGAGCCAGTTGCCGCCGAGAACCCGATGGCCACCTGCTCCGGCAGCGCCGTGCCGAGATCAACCTTGGCACTGACGTTGAAGGTTGGTGTCGCGTCGCCGAACTTGGGGCTGTGGTCGAACCTCAGCTCGACGTCCATCACGCTGGTGCTGCTGTTGTAGTCCACCCGCGCGCTCATCTGCCCGTTCAGGCTGAAGCTCGGCAGCGTGATGGTGCCCACGGACACGATCGAGTTCACGTCGATGCCCATGTGGTCGTAGGTCACGTTCGGATCCCAGCTGTCATTGAACGTGTCGAACTCCACGGCCACGAACCTGTCCTCCTGGCTAAGGCCGACGGTCCGGTTGAGGCAGTAGTCGCCCTCCGAGTTGGGCGGCAGCGCCGACGGGTAGTGGCCGAAGAAGAAGGCCATGCCGTCGCCCTTGTTGTTCATGTCGGTGATGTTGATGGCGAAGGAGAAGGCGGTGGTGAAGCTGGCCACCTGCCCCGTGGCCTTGTCCCGAAGCGGCACCGGGTGCGCGTACGCTACCCTGCCCACGCTGAAGGAGAGGCCAGCCCTGTACGCGTTCGCCGTGAGGTCGAAGAGTTGGCCGTGGAATGCGGCGGCGCCCGCGGTCGTGAAGTCCGCGAGGCTGAACGTGGAGGCGTTGGAGAAGTCGAAGTCGAAGGAGAGGCAGGACGCGCGGAGGGCACCACGGCTGGTGCCACCGACCATCAAGTAGACCAGCGAGATGACGACGAGACGTGTTGTGGCGCACATGGTCATCGCCGCCGACCTGCTAGCAGCCATGCGTGTGCTCGCTGCCGCTGCGTAAAGTATAAAAATGCTAGCTTGTCGAGAGATTGATCGGCTTGATAATGAACTAGTAGAAAGCGCGCGCGAGTGGACGAAGAGAGCGTGGCACGTATAGAAGAAAGCATATGTTAGGTTGACATCTTCAAATTAGACTTAAATGAATACGTTTATCAACGAATGGTGGCAAGACAGACTAATGCTATAGTTCATTGGACAACAAAAGCATCACTATTAAAGATAAGTCAACGTAACAAAGTACTCCCTCCGGTTCTCTAAAGCAAGTCGTTTTAGACATCGACACGGTCTTTAAGAAACGACTTTGACTGCAACTTTTTGCTATAAAATATTTATAAAATATAGTCAATATATACTTTTATGAAACTACATTTCGAGATGAATCTACTTACATCACTCTCATATTTTCAAACTCAACCCAAAAGAAGTTATTTGTAGTCAAATTTTAAAATGTTTGACTTAAGACAACCTCAAAACGACTTGTATTAGAGAACCGGAGGGAGTACCCTAAAGACAGACTGCTATCATGATCATGATAAGGCAGCAATGAGTAGCTAGTAAAATGAGCTTCGATTTTTGTATCCCTTCGCCGATGAATTAGCAGCAGCTTGCAAGTGATGAATTAGCAATTTACAAAATCAGGTGTTTCCCATGATTGAGAAAGCAAAGGTGGAATTTGAAGCCTCATTCTGTATCAAAGCATTCAGCATTGCAGGTTGGGCCATCTGTAAAGAGAGAAACGGCTACATCTTTAGACAAATCAGCCCGATACACGAAAACCGGGAAACCGAACCAATTTTTTTAGAAAAACTTACATGTAGTTGTATAGGATAAGAATTGAGTTACAAATGCATTCTAAACATCAGGGCGACCACATTCTATATTGGCAAAGACTGTAGTAGAAGTTACTGTTGCATCAGATATCCACTGCGTAAAAATGTCACATATTTTAACAGCAATATGAAAAAGCGTATTATGGAAACTTAAGATTGAAGGTACGGTACGTACAGGAGTTGTGAAAGTAGCCCATTCCAGCGCACCGCAGTCAGGTAAGAAGCAAACAATCCTTAGTACCACCCAAGGAAGTTTTTCGCTGCATAAGCAACTCATGTAAAACATTTCTTTTACCAAACAGCTATGTACAAATGGAACATTAAAAAATAGCTTGCTAATTATATGGTGTTCTCTACTCAACCAACTGCTGCAGGCAAAAGCATTTTTAAATGATTCCTGGTTCGTCTCCAACGATAGAAAAAACTAAAACTGCAGTAAGTTGAGAATGTAGACCAAATAAATCAACCTCTGCCTACGTGCTCGGAGCCCAGGACTGCTTGAGGGTGACTTGGTGCACCATGTAAGCTGAGGTGAACTCTAAAACTGGGGAAGCATCCAGCTCTGCGATAGTGAGGGGAACCATTAATAAAAACAGGACACCACGAATCCTCGCAAAAATTGGGCCCTAAACTAAGGCGGCAATGCCATCTTTAGTAACCTAGAATGGGAAAAGGTGCATATATTTGACAAAGTTTGAGCCAAATGTGGACCATACAAACTGTTAACTGTTCAATGATTTTATTGTAGAAGAACGGAGTTTATACTCCATGTATCTCTTCCTTGTTTTGGCTGTACCTGCTATTAGTTTGACAGTAGTTTCTATAATTGTAGGGACTCAATTATCAATATGGAGGTTCAAGGTTTTTTTAGTCAGATAAAATTGTTCATAAACACTAAGATATACTATTAAGCAACGAGCACAGTGCACAATCAAGGACGCAATCATTATAAAAACCTTAAGAACAGGCTGCATCAAGCAAAACTAGGATGCGAACAAATGGCCTACAATATATATGAAGCCAAGTATACGGGAAAATGAGATGCTCTTCACGGTGTTGTACCGGTTAAATTGTGGAGTAAGGGTGAAAGCAGGAATCATTAATGGGACACATATATGAAGCCCTATCTTCTTGATGCTAAACGGTATCGATAAACTATAGGAACTCTAGGTATTGCTATTGTAGACAGGAATTCATCCAAACATCTGGAAAGTATGGCATCACATCTTGGTAAAAAAGAAAGAATCAATTAGCTACAAGCATCAACTGTCAATATAATGATCTTGAGCCTTGATCTATAGGCACCACGTTACAATAATAAATAACAATTACCATGCTTCCTGGAAATTTTTTGCTGTTCTGACCTTTCATTAATTGTCTTGGAATAGACACATTATACCAAGAACAGGACAGGAGTTAATCAACCTACAAAACATACAATGCCAACAGGCGCTACCTAACTAACATACACTTGGCCGCAGCTAGTACGCACTAAAGGGGGAGAATCGCTACACATTCATGGACCCAAGAGAAGAAGTAACCATATTATTGTTTGAACTTTGAAAGGTTGTTATGGTTTAGAACATAACACACACTGCACCTATAACCAAGCTTTACTTCCCTTCAATACCAACTAAGAAAATACCTAATAGAGACATGCACGTGAACTGTCTAATTTGACTTACACTGAATATTTCTTATTGTTCAATTAGACTTCCTTAACAACATAGTATGCAGAGAATTATTGCTTATTTTTTTGTGCCCACCTGCTTGACGACAAGCATACTAAGCTCTGTAGCCATCTCTCTGAACAATGAGTCTGCTATTGGTCCACAATTATCAGCATTTTGGATCAGGTCTCATATAAAATGGAGCATGCGGCACTTTCTGCAGCGCAAGTTCGAATTAGGACGTTGGACCATCCATCACAAAAAAACCCTATGAATTCTAAATAAAGCTGAGGGCACTACAATAAATATCAAATCTATAAAATTGACAGGAATTTGTGTGTAACGTATAGATGAACCAAACTCGAAACGAAGCATAAGAAATTTAAAGAGTTGTTCTAGGCATTACACACATGTAGTTTTGAAGGTCATGAAACTCTCTTCCTTTGTACGTGGACATGAAGGCATGCACTAAATATAATCATACATATGCATGTGCAGAGAAAATTTTATGAAATAACAGAGCGAATTATGGCTTTATTGTAAATGGAGAACCTGCATGAATAAAATATATTAAAGGGAACTGCATACCTCCCGATACTCAGACTCGAATTTAGACAGTTCGGATCGATTTGCAATTATGTTTTCCTCCACGCTTTGTGGCTTCTGTTTTTAAGCAGAGAAGGGCTCAGCACATACAACCTCAATAATAATATAGCTAACACCTTTGAAGAAATTGTCACCTGAAAGTGATTGAGTTTCAGTAAACTATGATATAGTCACACATGCCTATATATGGTGCAACAGGAAATGGTATTACCATATACAGCAAAACAATGTGTTCATGCTTTCAGCTTATTTACTTCACAAGGTTTCACCAAGTAGTTTAGTAGTTTGGAGCATCATTAGAATAAGAACCGAGAACTTGTAGCCATTTGGGTTATCAAAATGGAGACACCAAGGAATTCAAACGAATGATCAACTTAGATAAGGCATGTGCAACCTATTGTCACTATTTGGTACGCTTTTTTATATTGACCGAAGTCATGACCTTCTTTTGAAATTCAGTAGAGTTGTTGATTGTTAGGCACAAACATATGCTTTTAGGATCAATGTATTGGAAGGTTATTTTTTCTCTGTATAGAAGAAAGAATACAAGATCGTTCAAGGAGACTTGGTGTATATAGCTATCATTACTACAAATACGTTCCATACTCAAACCAATAGTGATAGAATGTACCTTATCTAGCCACTTTCGTGAGGCATAAAGTACGGCCTGCACAAGGTCATTTATTTTCAGCAGCAAGAGTCTTGACAGGCATAATGTTGTAGGATAGTTTAGCAACTCCATGTAGATCCATATAGCATGTAAAATAATAAGATCAGAATGGTAAATAAAAAAATAACCATAAGAGTACAATTAACTTTGTTTGATAGCATTAGTTGGCACCAACACGATGATTATATTTGCTAGGGAAATACTGCAGGTATATGAGCAACTACTTTACCTCATATATATAACCTCAAAGAGCTGAATAATTTATCGTCGTAGAAACTAACCTAATCAAGCCTGCAATTATGTCAATGAAGGTAAAAATCTGATTTCAACTATAAAGAAGTTAACAGAAATAATTATTTAGGCTCAATAATAACTTCTTTCCAGTGCGAAGCTAAGGACACATTTGTAAGACATAACCATAGCATCTTTTTTTTAAGCAAATCTAAGCAACTAAATAGCTAGTGTGAAGTTGTGTCATATAGTATTGCAATCTGACACTTAAAACCTACATGATCATAAGATCTTATGAATAGAATACATTGGGTTCATGTGCTTCAGTGTTCTCCTGCCTTGCTAACATGCCATCATCATCATCATCATCATCATCATCATCAACAACAACAACAACAACAACAAAGCCTTTAAGTCCCAAACAAGTTGGGGTGGGCTAGAGTTGAAACCCAGCAGAAGCAATCAAGGTTCAGGCACGTGAATAGCTGTCTTCCAAGCACTCCTATCTAAGGCTAAATCTTTGGGTATATTCCATCCTTTCAAGTCTCCTTTTATTATCTCTACTCAAGTCAACTTCGGTCTTCCTCTACCTCTCTTCACGTTACTATCCTGGCTTAGGATTCCACTACGCACCAGTGCCTCTGGAGGTCTCCGTTGGATATGTCCAAACCATCTCAACCGGTGTTGGACAAGCTTTTCTTCAATTGGTGCTACCCCTAATCTATCACGTATATCATCGTTCCGAACTCGATCCCTTCTTGTATGACCGCAAATCCAACGCAACATACACATTTCCGCAACACTTATCTGTTGAACATGTCGTCTTTTCGTAGACCAACATTCTGCACCATACAACATAGCAGGTCTAATCGCCGTCCTATAAAACTTGCCTTTTAGCTTCTGTGGTATCCTTTTGTCACAAAGGACACCAGATGCTTGGCGCCACTTCATCCACCCTGCTTTGATTCT